GGGCTGAGTCTTACAAAGCTTGGAGATGGCTTCCCGCGGCTGGTGAGGACATATGAGGGCAAAGAGCAGGTTGCAGACCCCTCTGAGACTCCGGGTTGGGCCAGGGAGGTGGCTATGATTGGGATAGTTGAGTGGTGGGGAGTGCTGGGAGGTGAGGATCTGAGGGAACCAGGAGAGAGAACCCCAACTGACCTCTCTGACATTGGACATCTCACTTGGATTTAACACCGAGACTACCCTGAGTGCAACAGATTCCAGTCCAAACTCCCCCTTTCTCTCAAAATAAGACCTTCTTGATTCTGCTGTTGACAGCTCTACTCTGCTTACTCTCATTTGCCTGTTTGGGAATTACCTTGATTCCTCAACCCTCCCCCGCCCCCCCACCAGCTTCCTTTCCCAAATAGTGTATATCTTTCCACTGCATTCAGAATCTGTTCTTGCATTGATTCATTCCCTAAGAATACAATTCTTGTACCAGAACTAATGACAAGAGTCTTTAAATGTACTGATTATATGTGCTGGGCACTCTGCTGAACACTTTATCTGTAACTGTTACATTTCATCTTTGAAAAATTAAAGCACAAAGCCCGTCAAATCTATGGCAATTTTACAGAGAACCAAACCAAGGCATGGAAAGGTCTGCCTGCCCAAAGCCTGGAGCTGATCAGTGACAGAGGTGGGTTTCAAATCCCCTTATCTGACATCACAATATTCCTGTACTTCTTGCTTGCTGATGGACCCGGTGTTTCCTTCTGACAGTAACTCCAAGCAAAGCCCCTATCACAGACAAGGCACCCAGTAACTGGCAGTTTGCTTCACTTAAACATCTTGATGGACAGAATTTAGCAAAGGGTTTATGACTCAAAGAAAATTGATTGGGGCTGGAGTTATAGCACAGCAGTAGGGCGTTTGCCTTGCACATGGCCAACCCAGGTTCGATTCCCAGCATCCCAGCATCCCATATGGTCCCCTGAGCACCGCGAGGAGTAATTCCTGAGTGCAGAGCCAGGAGTAACCCCTGTGCATTGCCGGGTGTGACCCCCTCCAAAAAAGCAAAAAAATACCCCAAAATCAAAGAAAATCGATTGTCTCTAATGGAGGGAGGAAAACCAAATAATTTCCATTTGCTTCTAGAACACTGTCTGTCAAGAACCACCCTTCTACACTCCGGGTCTGGTCTTGACCTTCATCTTCACATGGGGTTTCTCCTTTAAGTCAGAGGGTGGAAGGAGCATAGGAAGGGCTAATTCTAGGCGGGCCTATGTCCTGGGAAATGCTACACACTTGGCAGGGGCAGACATGTCCCTGTGTCTACAAAAGAGAAACAACTGCACTGAAATACAATGATCACTCATAGTCCTAAAACATATGCACACATGGTTTTGGAGCCCACCCATTTCCAGGATCAGGATGCAGCTTGGGGAATCTGACTTTCAGCAGTATTGGGCTGTCAGGAGGCACTGACTCTTCCCCACAGAAGCCCCCTCTCCTCCTCCCCAGCCCCCGCACACAGACACAGACACAGACACAGACACAGACACAGACACACACACACACAGATATCGAGCATGCCTGCCCTCCACAGAGCCCACTGGTGGACATAACAAGCCCTTTCTACCTGGAAGAAGCCTTTTACAAACAGGTGGTATGTCCCAGAACTATAAAACAAAGGCCTTCCCAATTCCCTCATACTGGCACAATAGAAGGTCCCTCTTAAAACGTTTTCTACAAGGATTGGAGAGACAGTATGGGATCAGGTGCTTGCCTTGCATGTGGCTCACCCAGGTTTGATTCCTGGCACCACTTTATGGTCCTACCAGGACAGATCCTTGAGTGCAGAGCCAGGAGAAAGACTTGAGCATGGCCGAGAGTGGCCCAATATCAAATCCAAACAAAAACTTAACCATAACATAAAAGAAAAAGGCACTCCAACATGTTAATAGCTTGGATTCAATTTACAGCACCACCTGGTCCTCCAAACATACAGTCAGCCAGCCAGCCTGCCTTCCTTCCTTCCTTCCTTCCTTCCTTCCTTCCTTCCTTCCTTCCTTCCTTTCCTTCCCCTCCCTCCCTTTGTTACACCCGGTGATGCTAAGGGGTTACTCCTGGCTTTGCACTCAGGATTTACTCCTGGTGGTGTTCAGGGGACCATATGGGATGCTGGGGATCAAACCTGGGTTGGCCATGTGTAAGGCAAATGCCCTACCCGCTGTGCTATTGCTCTAGCCCCCCTCCAAGCACTTTCTGGGAGTGATCCTGAGCACTGAGGCAGGAGTAGTTCCAGAGCACTGCTGGGAAGGGCACCCAAGCAAACAATTTAACAAAAAACAGGGGAGGTTGGGACTCATTTCCATTTTTATTTTGGTTTAGTCACTGTTTTCACACGAGACAGTTGGCATAACATAAGAGGGTGGAATGTCACAGTGCAGATCAGACCTGACTGCATGCTTCGTCTCTGCCATTTTACTAGTGTGACTCGGTAGAAGTGAGCCAGCCCCTCTGAACCTATTGTTTTACTGTTCCCCTCCACATGCCTCCATTTGCCAGCTAAGGCCTGGTACTGGGTAAACTACTCCACAAACACCCTTGCTCCGGGTCTTCTGTTCTAAGACAGAATTTTGTTTGTGATATTGGTAGGTCCTGGGGCCCCTTAATCTCACCCTCCCTAAAGTTTCTTTCTTTATTTATTTTCTAGTCCATTTACTTCTTACTTATCTCTTTCTAATACCCGGCATGGATCTCAAGATACTTCTGAAAGGGAACACAGCAGGGAGAAACGCAAAGGAAAGGGGCGGGAGGCCCTTTTCAGAGAGCAAGTGTCGGGGAAAGTGATGGTGTCCATGAGAAGGCAGGGGGCAAGAGGGCAGGAGTTGATGGCCAGATGTGGGGTGGCTGCTCCCATCCTGATCCAAGGCCAGCAAGAATGCTGAGGTGACATCAGAGTGGGGAAGTGCCTCCTGTGTATCCACTACCCAGGGCCACAGCCAGAGGGCGCTCCCCGCAGTGACTGAACAGTCAAGCCCTGGGAATGGGCCCCTGCTAGCACCCTTGGGTGACCTTCTCTTTCAAGGCTTTGAACCTTGCCCTAGAGAAAGGTCAGAGTCAGGAGACAGGCCGGATCCGGTGGGTACCTGAAGTCTAACCACACATCAATGGCACTTACGCAGCCACTGGGATGGCTCCATGAGTGATATATTCCTGCCTCTGCCTCTGCCCTTCCACTCCTCTGGGGGCTGACAGGTCTGCCTCCAGGCAAATCTCTCACTCAGGTGCAGGGTTGGGGTCTGCCGCCCCAGCCTCCTGCAGCCTACCTTGACATCAAATCACCCTGCACTCTCCCTGCACGGCCATGCCAATCACAGCTGTCCATGTGCCTTTGATTAGCCGTACGGCCTGCCATCTGGCCCTCCTCCTTGGGGTGTAGTATGCAGTGTGTGTGTGTGTGTGTGTGTGTGTGTGTGGTAATGTTGGTGGTGGGGCATTCACTGTGGGCACTGGCTACAGGCCAGCCCTACTGCATGTCAGAGAATTTCAAAGAGCTGAGCTGTCTGGCCGACGTGACATTTAGCATTTGGACAGTATCTGTGCCAACCAGAGCCCGAGTGAAAGATTTCTCCTTATCATTCGAGGCTGCTGTTCCACTCACTAAGTCAAATGAAAGAAGAGAAGGACGGGCGTGAAATGAATTAGGAAAGAAGAGGGAGCATTCTGGAGGCGTGTCATAGAAAGCAGCACCCCGTGTGTTGCTGTCGTTTCCCTGCTTTACTCCGAAAGATGGACAGACGAGATGCCAGTTACACAGCACAGGGGCCAGGGGGCAACCCCGGCCTGCAGCTACTGCACAGGACTGCAGGCGCCCCTGGGAGGCCGCAAAGAACACATACTTCATTCCACACCATTCCCTGTGGACTGTGCGGTGCAGAGCCCAGAAGAGCAAACCTGGGATCCCTGAGCTGGGCTGCTTGAAATGTCCCTGAAGAGCTTTGTTTGGTTTGGGTTGTGTTTTACCAAGAAGCTGATTCAGACCATCTCTATATGGGGCTTGATGTGGGGAGGGGGAGACTGAAGAAACGAGGTGGAGTTTTTTGAGGGTCTCTCTCTCCCACTGTCTCTCCAGACCCCATTCCTACACCCTTCACGCTGATCTGGGACACCCCTCCCCCACCCCGGCAGCTTTCTGTGACCTGTGACTTCGAGTTGGCTTTGGCAGGAGGTAGGAAGGAAACCGTAGAGCAAATCTGGGTATAAACTAGCCCCCATTATCATGCTCTACCAAAGGGGCATTCCTCACCACAGCTAAGCAGCTTTAGTCCTGGGGCTCACTTGCCGCCCCCCCGCCCAAGTCCTGTCTTCCTTTGCTATTTCGTACTAGCTCTGAGAAGCTGCACCATGCTTTGGGGTTTCATTGGACAAGGACCCTGTTGGATCCTATACAGAACTTCCTTTAATGCATATGTCTTTTGCTTATTTGCTGAGACAGATGGAGTGATGCGCAATTCCCTGGCTGGACACTTGGCCTTCTACCACCCTTCTCCAGAGGTCAAGTGTCCCAGGGCTGAATGTTGAGAGGAGAGGGGTAGCAACCAGGGGGAGCTAAAGCAGCAAGTATCACCCTTCTACTCAACCAATTTTGGCTTCCACTGCAGAGCTGTCATATGCCTGCCAGACCGAGGAGTGAGAACCCAGCCAAAGAATGACATGTCAGGGGCCAGAGCGATAGTACAACAAGTAGGGCGCTTGCCTTGCATGCCACTGACCAAGGTTTGATGCCCGGCATCTTATATGGTCCCCTGAGCACTGTGAGGAATTAATTCCTGAGCACAGAGCCAGGAGTAACCCGAGCATCACTGTGTGGCCTCCCCCCACTCCCATCCCCGCCCCCCCCAAAAAGAATGAGATTTCACATGCTTCCTGGAGGAAGGATGGGAAGGACGCAGGAAGGGGAATGTAGGAAACTGGTTCTGAAGATGTGACCGCCAGCATCCCACGTAAGGGCTCACCTTGTCTTGCTGTGTATTCATTATCTTCGATCAATCTGGCCAAGCCGAAGTCCGCAATCTTGCATATCAGTCCATTCCCTACGAGAATGTTTGCTGATCGCAGATCTCTGTGAATGTAGTTCATGCGCTCGATATAAGCCATTCCTGCAGCAACCTGTGGAAAACCAGGGAACAGGAGATGGTTATTATAGCAGGGCCCTCTGTGCCGACACAGGATTCCATCTCAGGCAACAATTGGGGCATCAAGGGGCCTACCTGTGCCGCCATGTCCACAAGATTTGGCAATTTCAGAGCTCGTCCTTCTCCATCTTTTAAGAAATCAAGTAAACTTCCTAGGAACAAAACATAAAAACAATTCAATTTAGTCTGAATGATAAAAATTCCTACCAGTGGGCTATATTTGGTTTTATTCTAAGAGTAAGGTTTAATACTAAGAATTATATCATCAAAAATTTAGGGTTTTTTGGGGCTGGAGAGATAGCACAGTGGGTAGGGCGTTTGCCTTGCATGCGGCCAACCCAGGTTTGAATCCCAGCATCCCATATGGTCCCCATGGTCCCCTGAGGGCCGCCAGGAGTAATTCCTGAGTGCAGAGCCAGGAGTAACCCCTGAGCATCGCTGGGTGTGACCCAAAGAGCAAAAAAATTAAAAAAAAAGGGCACCAAGGCTTTATTTAAAAAAAAAAAAGTTTTTTTTTTTTAAGCCAGAGTAGAAAACCAATCTATGCACAAAAAGTCAGCAGAGTTTTACTTTTAAAAATAAACTATGTTCACTCCATTTCTAAGGACAACAAAAGCTTTATAAAAATAAGAAAACTCAGGGCTGGGAGATAACTCAAAGGGTCGGAGTTCCTTGTAGCACTAAACCCATAGTTCAGTCTCATTTGCTCCCAAACTCCTCTAACCCTGGAACCACCAGGTGTGGCCCAGGTGGTCGCCAGCACTGATACCCGCACTGCTGGACGGCGTTTCCCAGGGAGTGACTCCTGGGTCCACTGAGCACTTCTTAGGAGGTTGCCACCTCTTTCCCCCCATGCAAAAATGAAGCAACTGGACTCAGTTCCCATCATGTCCTAAACAGGCACCTCTCTATGGAGGTTAAGGAGTTACCATGCATCCCCATACTTCTCCAATCAGCCCTGCAAAAAAAAAAAAGGGGCAAGACCACAGAGTCAAGTGATTCCTCAATAGGCCTTCTGGGACCAGCAGCCCAGCACCTTTAGGGGACTTAAAAAAGAAAGTCAATCGTCAGGTTCTAACCCAGATTTATTGAGTCCAAAGTGGGAGGACAGAAACCTACATTTTTAAAAAGCCCCCCTGGGTGATCTTAATACAGAGTTAGATTTGAGAATCACTGGCGAAATTTCCAGATTTCAAGTCAAGAAAGGAACATCTGAGGAATGCAAGGTGGGGCAGTGAGGTGTTCCCATTAGATCAGGGCCATCCAACCCTGAGAGCAGACACCCAAAAGAATGGCTGGAGAGTCTAGCCACTTGGGTGACACAGCTTTAGAAATAAGCCCAGCTTGGGAGGGAGTGCCCCAAGGGCCAGCACAGGTGCTCTGTAGAGGGACGTCCAGGCTTGCTCCACTGAAGGACACTGGGAGCAAGCATAGGGTTAGCAGCGGGCTCCCAAGCATGAGGTGGGATGTGGCCTTCAAACAAACAAAAAGGTCAAAAACAAGAGGAGTGTGTGTGTCGGGGGGAGGAGGGAGAGGAGGAAGAGTAGGAGGAGGAGGAGGAGGAGACTGATCAGGATGGCCACTCATGGTTTGTTTCTTGTTTTCATTACAAAACTATTCATCACATAATCCTAGATACAAAGGGCAGACTACCAGGGCCAGGGAATAAAATATATTTGGCAAAACAATAAAAAAATAAATAAAAGGCATGGAAAAGAAAAATTACACTGGTGTTCTCTGATGTACCACACATTGCCTTTTAAGGGTGTTTCTTATTTGCTTCCTCAATTTTTCCATAACATAGTAATCTTTGGGATTATCCCCAGCAATATTGCTTTGATTAGAAAGAAAGAGACAGACAGTAAGAATAAAATGTGCCCTTTAAAAGCACATCATTTCTTCATCTGATATTTAAGAATAGGGCTAAAAGAGAAAAGAAAAAAGATGATGGGGACTAAACTTAGCCTAGGAACCAGTGTCTGGTATTATCTGCTCAGCCCCGCAAAAAGGATATTTAACAAAAGCTATGCTATACAGAGTCATGGAATATTTTCATTGCTTTCTGTGCCCCTCTTGATATTAAAAAGGAGTTTCTTAGTCATGGCAAGGAGCTGGAACTCCTGATACATGTGCGAGGCCAAGGTAATTGCGTTTCACAAGGATGAGCAGGTAGACTCAGGTCAGAACTGCAATCTACTTAAAAATGTCTTCAGTGGGCTTGGAGAGGGCTCCAAGGGCTGTTATGCTGTGTGGGATTCTCAAGTTTGATCCTGGCATTACATGGTCCCCCGAGCATCTTCGGGTGTGTCCTCTACCCTTCCCTGCAAAAACATTCTCACTAAAGAGTACACACTTAGTACTTGCTGATGAGAATTCTGGACTCATGCTGCAACCAGGGAAAATGCCAAGAGACTAGAGACTGAATTTCTCTCCCTGAAACAAGCCCTGTGGATCAGTGTGGGGTGTCAGAGCCCATATCTAACCTTTATTCATATACTCGGTGACGATGTAGATGGGTTCCTCTGACACCACTGCATACAGCTGCACCAACTTGTCATGCTTCAATTTCTTCATGATCTGTGCTTCCTCGAGGAATGATTCAGGGGACATTGTGCCTGGTTTGAGAGTCTTTATGGCTACTTTCGTGTTTCCATTCCAGGTACCTGCAGACCCCCACAATATTAAGTTATATCTAGGATCTTCTTTTGATGGTTGAACTCCCCAACCCCCCCCCCCGCCCCACTCAAAAATTTATAGTTATTTATGTAAAGTTAGATTTTTGCATGGGGCATCAGTTACAAGGACTCTTTCAAGCATTGTGCAAAGGGAAAATGGGGTTTTGGGGGGCTATCTTCTGGTTAATAGTGATTTTTAACTTCTTTTCTTTTTTGATGCCGGGATTGAACCCAAGGCTTCACACATGTGAAGCACAGGCTCTATCACAGAACAACCACTCAGGCCAACTCTGTTCTTACTCTGGTTAGGTACAACTTTCCTTTTCCCAGCTTAGTCCCGTGTTTATCAATTTGTTTCAAAAGTTTGCGACACTTCAGGACAAGAATGAAAGTCCATCCAATGCTCTAGAAAGTAGATTCAGTTTCATTGTAGGGGGTGTAATGTTAAAAGGATGACCACATACTTGGGATGTTTGGAAATTATCTCTGGATTTTCAATCATCTGCAATGATGGGCTACTTGAGTGAGTCCTTGAACAGCTGGGCTGAGTGTGCAGGCAGGTAAGTACTGGCAAGAAGTTCAGTTGACTTGCCATTACTTTACCTAGGTAAAGAAAACTCCTCAGCTTTACTGATGGTTAGCTCCAGCAAGAACGATGATGACTATCAGATGGACTGGCAAAATTAAACAGTAGCCAAGTGGGAAGAAAAGTATTTAAACTGAATGTGTTTAAAAAAATCTAATAGTTTTAGAGACAGGTTAAGTTTCTTTTCTTTATCACACTTGGTTATCTCATGAATAAAATACAAGAATGGAAATGAATTATCTTCTGAGTCTCCTGCCACCCCCAAATAAAAAATGGCCTGAATTAATTTTCTTTTTTTTTTGCATTTTTGGGTCACACCCAGCAATGCTCAGGGGTTACTCCTGACTCTGCACTCAGGAACTACTCCTGGTGGTGCTTGGGGGACCATATGGGATACTGGGGATTGAACCCAGGTCAGCCGGGTGCAAGGCAAAAGCCATAACCGCTGTACCATCACTCCAGTCCCAGGCATAAATTAATTTTTATACTTAAAAGAATTTTAGAGTTTGAAAGTTCTACAAATTGAAGAGTACCGATATTTATAAACATGGTTCACAGAATTATAAAATGCAATATAAAAGAAAACAGGTGACTGAAAGAATTTAATCAGATCTTGCAGTATGAACCACTAAATGTAAATGGAAAATCTGACATTTTGTAAGTGTATATTTGTCATATGATTATGGTTAGCACCCCAAAATTTGACATAGAGATATTCTTCTTCTTTAATAACTACCTAGTTACTTACATTTATATTTCATCCTTATGTGGAGCTACCACAGAGTGAAGTTTTATGTTTGTGGGAAACAGACTCTCACTACTATGCATGATGATTCAAAGTTAAGTGTTTTTATAGAATCAAATTCTTTCTTATTGTATGAATGACTGGATTAAAATTCCCAGGATCTACAACTGCAATTATAAACTGGGCAGAAGAGGGAAAGAAAGGCCATACGAACTTATTTTCCAAACTAGAGAGTTAAAGTCTAGATATGAATGACATGATGATATCAACTCTGAATAACAGGATGATAATTATTCCAATAATGCATACATAAACATCTAAATATGCATGCTTGTGTAATTATTTATCTGTCTGTCCATCCATCCATCTGTACATTTATTTGTCTCTACATATCTATATGGATATTTCAGTAATCAGACTTGATTTCTAGTGATTTATTTAACTTTTATGCAATTCCTTTAGTTTAAATCATACTTAAGTATCTTTACTAACACATAGGAAAAGGGTCTATCTTATATTGCTTTCATGGAATTTAAAGAAGGAGGAGGAGGATTCCATAACCACTGCCTTGCAGACAAATACATTTGGATGGAGACTAAGTGCTTGGATTATCTCTAAGAAAGTGGCAAACTGCCCCAAACTGGTGTTATGCAAGCCCAATGCTGTCAGTCTAATCAAGAACAATCAAGTTAAGAGAAGTTCGTCTAATGAGTTTCCAGTGTCTGCAAAGGACTCTAACATATGGTTCATATCTTTAAAACCTAGGAAGTTCGCATCCCAGTTTTCCAGATGAGGTTACTGAAGTTCAGACTGGTTGAAAAAAAGTACTTTGCCAAAGGGCAATTAGCTACTGAAGTTTTAAACCCATTCTCTTGAGCAAAATCTCCAGTCTCCCTATAGTAGCCCAACTGTAGCATCTTACCTCCCCAGGTCTTAGGAAGAAGAAACACTCAACTCTGATAGTAAGGGATTTCTTTTTGTGCCTTACTTAGCGAACCATGTCAAGTGAGATTAGAAGAGCACAGTCAGGTATGACCGTATACTCAACAGCTGGATGACCTGTACTCAAGTAGCTATCCAGGTTGAGTATTGCACTCCCAATGACTACACCTGCATTATTACTTTTCTTTCAATTGGTTTTGGGATGCAGCCCAAACAAAAGGTGCCCTCTGCCTTACCAAGCCACACATCAGCGAAACACCCATGACCCAACTTCTTCTGCAGAAACAGGGAGTCACGTGCAACTTCCCAAGCATCTTTAGCCAATCCAGAAGTTTGTGGGGTACAACTCGGTGCAATCACAGTTAAGTTAAAACATAAACCATCAGCTTTCTCTACAGGAGAAGGAATTAATAAAGAAAACACAGACCTTATAATTTATAATTATGCATGCACTAGAAAAGATGGAAGGTGACTTGCCCGTTAGGGCGACACTGAATTCATTTGGCAAACATTTGCAGCTATGAATGAGGGCAAGATATTTGATGCCAGTAAGAACATTCCTGGCACCATTTACAGGTTTATGAATTGAGATTCCAATAACAGTATATTTTGAAACATTTGCCAATCTTGTCACTTAATAGCCTCTGGAAATTTCAGAATTCTTGAAATCAAAATTATTGTTCTTTATAATTAGTTATTTTAGGTTCTTCCTGGTCAAAATTTTCATTTTTCACCTTCCATCTTTGGCCTTTGGGACTTCCCAAAGAAGGTCACAGAAAATAGAGTAATTGAGTCTCAGCGTACCCATCCATACTTCCCCAAACTGCCCATTTCCCAGTCTCTTGATCAACTGCAGGGATTCTCGAGGGATTTCCCAGACATCTTTGGTTTTGACAGACAGATCGGTAAGCCTCGGCATCCCTTTGTGACAAGGAACTACTAGGCGGCAGCAGAGACCTGCGGCTCTCTCTGATGGATCGGGGGCAGCAGCAGGAGAGGGAGAGAGAAGCAGAACAGGTGAAACAACAACATTTACAGGTACATAAAAAACCCAGTCAGCACACAGAGGTACTCCAAACAGGGCTACACCAACAGAAAATTAAGCACATCTTAGAAAGCTTGACATCACACTGAAACATATTCATTGGAGTAGAAGACATTTTAAAATTACACTACTCTCTTGCCCTCAGGAATGATACACTCTACACATATGTACAAATATCGGGTGTTTCGGTGTCGTTATCAAGTGAGGAAAACATGTTTTCAGTCCTACGTGCTAGTAACAAGTTTTCCAGAAACCCAGACACTGCACACTGATTCCAGAAGACAGTCCTGGACATACTGCCATAAGGTCATCTTTTTCCTTGCCATACTATCAGCGCCCTGGGGTGCTCTTTGGTATGAATAGCGTTAGAATTATAACTGGAGTCCAGTACTTCTGCACGGAACATTAGACCCTTGGAAACTAGTGAGATGGAGATTCTATTTGGCAGGGGAAAAAAGAGACCACATTTCTCGAGTGCTTTCTTTGCCATTTTAACTGACTCTATCCTATCAATCAGTTGCTTCTTTCATATTTCCCATTAAAAAAAAACCTTTATACAGTCTCTGATGTATAATTTAGGAGTCTGATTTGAAAGGAGAATGAAAAGTAAAATCTGCAGAAATTCAAGAATGTGAAAGAACTCCATTTCTTACAAAATGAGGATGAAAAAAACGGAGTTATCATTTATATGTTATTTGGAGGATTTCTAAGACCCCCATTTTTTATTTTTTTTGCTCTCTCATCTTATCTCTTCTCACCCAGTTTTTCTTTTTATAGAGTACATTCCTTTTAGAATCTAGTAGCGCTAAGGGGAAATTACCTAAACAGACAGTAGGGGACAAAAGGTAAGAGAATACGGGCAGGCAGGAAGTGACAAGGCTGCAGAGAGCAGAGCGGGAGGGGGGTGGGGGTGGGGGGTCCGAGCTAAGACGGGGCGGGGCTAGGGGCGGGGCTAGTTGAGCCAGGGCGGGGCGAGCTTCACCAGCCACTCCTGTGGGCATCTAACCCTGGGAAGGCAAAAGCAGAGCATCTTCCCCTTGTCTCTAGGAAACCATTTTTAATCTACTTTTTCTTCTTTTTTTTTTTAGCAGTGCAATATTCAATTTAATTAGTATTCAAATAAAAACAATTTAAAAGCTGTCAAATTAGCAACTAATATCCAAATTAGCAATTTGTATAGATGTGATTTCCCTACATAACCAGTTTTGAGAAGGCTCAGTGAAACTGGTAGGCACTGGAACACTTTGTTGGAAACAAAATATCAGACTGTACCAGGAACCTTACTCCTTACTTTAAGCTACTTTTTGTGCCTTTCTTTTCTGATAGAATCTTCTTTTGTGCTGTTTAGACAAAAAATTATTTATGTGTCAATATTTCAAAGGCATTTTATTGTGTGTGAGGAAGCAGGAGCAGGAAAAACCAATATAAAAACAAATCTAGCTTGGGCTAGATTATTATTATTATTTTTTGAGATTAAAAAATGCCTTCAGCTCTTCATATACCTTCTCTCCTTCCAGCTTTATGATGTTATTAAGGTGTCCTTTCCAACACAATATTTTCAAACGATTCAAACCCTGGGGATCCTGCTGATGTTTAGCTATAATGAAATGTAATTTTGGCATTTGGAAAATCTTTATGACACGCAGGCATTTTGAATCTATCACTTAAGCTCATGGAGATATCTTGTTCTAGCTCTTGCTAGTATTTCATTAGAGCCCACATAAAACAAAGTTACCTAATGCCCTATTCAATTAGTACTGCCAAGTGTGGTTAATTTTTCATTTACTTATTAGTGCTCAGGATCAATAGATTGACATTTTCTCACTGTAATTTTCAAAAGACTGTCTTTGGTGGGGAAGAGATGTACCATAAAATTTTACACACATTTTAGAAAGTTCAGGTCAGGTCATGTAACATTTGGGGTTTTTTTTTTGACTATCTATAAGAACAATATAAAAATGCATTTGAGTGTTACAACAACTACGGGATTAATGGGACACAAAGCTCTATCTGAGCATTTATATCCACCCATCTGTATCTATGTGTGTATCACCTAGTAGGATATACTTGTTAATCTAGAAAAGAAAGCAGTTATCTTAAAAACTACACATAAACCCATTTTATTTGTATAAACTGTAAATATAAATATCAACAATTGAGTGTTGTTTCATTTTTGAGGTTCTTTTTGGGGCCAACTCCCGGCAGTACTCCTGGCTTACTTCTGGCTCTGTACTCAGGAATCACCCCTGGCAGTGCTTGAGGGACCAGATGGGAGCTTGGCAACGGAAACTGGGCTGACCGTGTGGAAGGCAAACATCACTCTACTATCACTCCCTCCCCAAAATTGAATGTATAGGAACTGAAAAATAATGGTGGCATTTAGGTGTTAGGACAGAAACTGATAAACTTAGAGGTTTAATTTAGTGCAACGGATGTAACGATGGGCGACATGCATCTTAGACTTAGATGTATGTAGACATGGAACTGAGAGTCAGTGATGGTTGGAGAGACTCCCCTTCGGGAGGCCCATGGAGTGTCCTCCTGAGACCACACTGCTTCCTTTCACTGTTTCTCATTATCTAGTGCAGGATCCCGGGGAAAGACACCTTGCAAAGATTTCAGGGTGATGACAGAAAAACAAACAACTTTTAAAATTTAATTAACTGCTTTCTACACCCTGGGAACCAAAAGGTTAAATAAAGACTCTTTGGATTAATGTTTTGGATAACTATGGTAGATGGACAGCCATGGAACCTGCTGGTTGTCATCCCCACCTGAGGGTCTCGCAAAAAAATGATTTTCCTAGTGATGATACACATTTGTTGTGCCACTTTGTCCTTTATTCTCTTCCTTGTACCTGTGCCCACCCTTTCCCTCCAGGGTCCAAATGGTTAGTAGCTGGTTACCTGAATAATGTTGTACAAGCTGCTGGAGTGTTTCAAACTGGGCCCGGGTGGTAATATAGTATCCACCATTGTCAAGTTTTCGAATTTTATAATGTTTGACATGGTCTCCTTTCATATCATCCCAGTCACGGATAGAAAGTGAATAGGCACCTGATAAATATGGAAAACATTAGCAGCTTCAATTATTTTGAGAACCAATTTTCTTTTTCAGGTCTCATTTACTTGACTATTCTCGTTAATATTTATCAAGGAGAGACACACAGAGATGTACACACACACACACACACACACACACACACACACACACACACCCTGTTTCATGACACAGAAAGAAAATGCAGTTTTCCTGCAAATATCAGAAGAGATCAACAATAAAATGGTTTCTTCCTTGAAAACAAAAGTTTTTGGAATTTTCCCTATAATTCTTTACTCAGTACACTTGTGTTGTCTAATAAGGAACAGACACCATTCCCTGTAAAGGGAAAGATAAAGGGGAACATGGTTGTGCATTACTGCCATTTCTTCCCTTCCTTACCCAGGCAACTTCCTAATGCAAGGATAGAGTGTTCTAAAGAAACCTAAGGCCTCATTCTCTCTAAATGCACTTCTAATTTCAGGGTTTTTGTTTGTTTGCTTTGGGGCCACACCTGGTGATGCTCAGGGGATATTCCTGGCTCTGCATTCAGAAATCACTTCTGGCAGTGTTCAGGGAACTATATGGGATGCCAGTGATTGAACCCCGGTCGACCATGTGCAAGACTGTGCTATTAATCTGGCTCCAGTCAATTTCTGCTCTGTAACACTTTGATGGGGCAGATAACCAGTGTCTGGTAGGTCCTTTCTCCTGGCCCAGATCTTCCTGTGGACAACTGGGTTGTTAAAAACTAGAAAAACCATCAGTTGGAGAGAAAGAGATCCTTGGTGTTTATATATATATATATATATCAAAGTAATGCAAAAATGACTCGTATGACTGGCACCTAAGGAACTAAGAGCTTCAGAAAGATCATAATTCTAAAAAGACTTCTAAAAATCCTATGATCTTATGCGCCTGAAGGAGCGGAGCTGTCCAGCCCCCTTTGCGTGAGGAAGGTCTTGATTTTGAGCCTCTGTAGTTCTTTGGGAGCTGCCTGCAGTTCTAGAGCTTAGAGGGAAAACTGAAAAGAGAGACTCTGCTCACATGGTAGGGACCTGTAGGTGCCATTCAAAAATTTCTGTAGTTCGAGATAAGCCTTTTATCCCCTCTGACTAATCTACAGATGTGAGTGACAAGCCACCTTCTTAGACTCATTATCTTACCTTTGGTGGTTTCACTCTCACGGATAAGAAAGGTACCTCTGGGGTTTCCAAAGGACAAAAGCTGTCGCTCAGCATCTTTCCGGCCAAGTTTTCCAAAGTACCACCTTAGGAAATCAAGGAAACATTTTTTTTTTTTTTTGAGATCAAGGAAACGTTTTACAACCATCATTTACCCCGGAAGCCCCTCAGTTCCCTGTACATGGAAGTCTTCCCCACCTTCCCCTGTGAGCTTTGTCTTGGCTTCAGCCAGTTCTTTTTTCGATCCAGTTTTGACTCATTCCCTAATTCATCTCTTTCACTCTCAAAATAAATTAGATCTGAATCATGGGTTATTTTTCTCCCTTCAGGGATGACAGGTACTGGGTTTGTGTTAAAATTGCCACCTGCATGTATGAAAACAGAAAGTCAAGACTGTGTTTTAAAATGCTAACAGCAGGACCAGCTTCCTATACCTTTCTGTAAGACCCTTGATTTCCAAGCATACTTACAAGCTGGGGGAAATAATAGAACCTGGTCTCAGTGTCTATACTGGTCAGTGGTGAAAGAATCTGAAACATGCCAGTCTGAACGGATTGAAAACAAAGACATGATATTTTTAGTAGCTTCTACCTATGGGTACTAAAAAAAAGAGAGAGAGAAAGAAATAACTGCTCAGGGCTGCCCCTCACTGAAGATGACAGTCACCTGATTATGTGTTAGTGGTCTCTTCCTGTCCAGCAGGTATGTAGACGTGGGTTAACAGAAGAGATCTGCCTCATGACTGGGCAAGGATCTGCCACATGGGTGACCTGCCTACTTGCAGAGCTGGGTTACTGGCTACTGTACACAGTGAACTCATCCCTTAAAACACTTCTATTGGACTGGGAAAAAAAGCAGAGGAGGTAACACACTTGCCCAGTTTAATCCCCAATACCACATTTGGTCCCCCAAGAACCATCTGGAGTTTCCCCTGAGCAGAGCCAGGAATAACCTCCAAGCACAGCCAGATGTGGCCTCTAAACTAAAACCAAACCAAATCCAAAAACACTGGTTTCATCAACAATCTTATCTTCTCCCCCAGCGAGTGGCAGGAACTCTAGGGCCATGTCAGGACGTCTCCTCCCAAGTTCCCTCTAATCTGCAGAATGTGTCTTTCTTTATTCCTCTACCCTCTGCCCTGGCCCCACGAGTTCACAGTTCGGCACTGGTGCTGAAGGAACAGCAGGTGCTCCAAGAAACCCAGGGGAGAGTTCCGGAGCATTCTATTGGAATCTGCAGACAGGAATGCTTTTTAGAATATTTAACTGTGAAAGGATTTGCTCTTCTAAGAAGACATTGCGATTCATTATTCTTGAACATAGCTATTATGCGTTCACTGTCAAATTCTTTTGTGAATGAAAGGGCTTCGCTGGAGATAAGAAAGCAGACACTGCACGCAGGCCCCTCGGTGACTTTGAAAGGCACCAAACCGTGCAAGAATCCTAACTGGGCACTTGATGGCATAAAGAGCACTGTCCCAATTATTTTGGAGAAATGACTCTCTAGGTTTGTATCAAAATTCCAATTAAAATGCGGTGTAAACATTAATGGTGGTGAAAAAGAGAATGGTAGAAAATGGGTTGTACAGAAACAAGAGCATTTTAAGATGATGGCGATTATTTGTCAATGCAAACCAAATGCTTAATGTAAAAAATGCTGTGATCATCTTTAAAAAAAAATAAGTTAGGGGCTGGAGCGACAGCATAGCAGGTAGGGCGGTTTGCCTTGCATGTGGCTGACCGGGGTTCAATTCCCAGCATCCCATATGGTCCCCTGAGCACCGCCAGGAGTAATTCCTGAGTGCAAAGCCAGGAGTAACCCCTGAGCATAGCCGGTGTGACTAAAAAAAAAAAAAGTTAAAAATTGACCATTATAAATATGACTCGAATATAGAGGAAGTAGATGCTCCATTAAATAAATTAAAAAAAAAAAAGTCACTTTCTGGTTGTATGTTTCCTCACTAAAAGGTGGCACCTTTCATAATCTGAAACAGGAAGATGGCTGCAAATCTTTCCAGCAATAAAAAAAAAAAATCAGAGTTGCTGAAGACCAACAGCAGTCCCTGGAGGACAAAGGAGGGCAGAATCACTGTGCACTTGAGTGTGAGAAACAAAAGCATCTTCTTAGCAGAAAAGCAGGGAATTAGAGATCAGAGAATGGCCTGACTGGGGTCTGGGCTGCTGAGCGCAACGGCCTCTGTTCAGGGCTTAGACACACCGAGGCACAAAGAACAAGCAGAGTGAAAGGCTGGGCTCAGGGGCTGCCTTTTCTTCCTGGGGGAGCCCCTTTCCTCTGAGGCAAAGACACCTCCAGTGAGTGGGGATAGCCAGATTTGCAGGCTGCCAGACAGAGAGAGCAGATTCTAGTATTCGGGAAATGATGCCTCTCTAACTCTCCTTCTTCTGCTCAGAAACTAGGGTTGAGCTTTAGCCATGCTGCAAGCAGTTCCCTAATATCCCATTAGCCCCCCAGGTCAGGAGAGGGAATCACGAGAATCTAGAATCCCCTCCAGTCTATGGACGCCCTGCCCAAACAGGTCCTGGAGTAATTCCCGGGTCAACTCACTGCTTGTCACAGGGAGCTTTCATAGGAACCATGCGAGACCCCGAATCAAAGGAAAAAAATGACTTGAAAAGCCCCTCATCAGGGTTCCCCATGCCCTGGGCTGTGCTGTCAGTGAGGTGATTCTGCTGTGGCCTGGAACTGATGGTTTTTCAGGGAACCTTTACTATTCCTGATTCCATGGAGGAGAAAAGAAATCTCCGCAATTTTTAATCTTTACAAATGATTTGCTCCTCCCCTCTCTTTTTTCTTCTTTTATTTTTAAAGGATTTAAAATAAAAAATTTCAGCAGACTGCAAGCTAAGAACTTAGGGTTGGCAATAATCTATGTTCTAGCTAGAATTTTATTACATTTTTTTTATAGTTACTTTCTATCTTGGGCAAGTAATATTGGATTTTCATTTAAGGTACGGATATAGTTTCCTTTTAAAATAAAGGTCTGTAAAAGTGAGCAGGCTTAAAGAAAATTACAAGTGTAATACAGGGACAGCCAAAGCCATGGCACGGAGCCTAGAACACAACACCAGCCCCTTCTCGACCCTTAACCACGCTATCAATTATTTGTCTCCCTCCTGCACAATCTCAATGCCACTTTATTGTAGTGACTAACTTTAAAATGCAAGTAGTCAAGTGAAAACAACGAAACAAAACATACTCTTCTGCCTGGATGGAGTCCACCGGAGCCACGTAATTGCTGGGAATGTAACCCGTCTCTCCAGTTGTCAAGGAGCGGGCCTCCCACCAATCTCCTTCCCTGCAGAGAAAGGGGAGAAAAAAGGACGTGAGTCTGAGGTCCATTCCAGTGCCCTGCATTTGCAGATTTGAGGTTGCAAGACTACATGATCTCCTCCCTGTCCCCTCACCACTGGACTTCTCCAAACTCCACTACAGTCCCCTATGGTGGTCAAATGGCTGTAATTCCAACCGACAGGGGGTTAAACACAGCCTCTTGGCTCTTGCCTTATCGTGAATTAAGAGTGGGTTGGAGAGAGAGTATAGGGATTCAAGTGCTTGCCTTGCATGTGGCAGTCATTTGTCCAGAAGGGGGCTCTTGGGTTTTGGGGAAAAGGAGACAGTAATTTGTTCGGTAAGTGCCCCTAACTTGGACAGACAGGGAGGGAAGCCTTTCTAGCTCACTTGGGAAAAAACATTATAGTAACAAGTACAAGATGGCAATTATGTGAGATGAAGGGTTTGTGAACTCACCTTATTGGAGGGCAATACATAGAATCATCATCGCAAGAATTTGCAACACATATAAGCATCCACCTGACTTGTACTCCTCAGACACACACAATACGGCAAGTTATAATTTCAGTAAGGCGGAGAGAGGAAAAGCACATGCCAACTGCACTAATTCAGCTAACAGCCTCATCTGTGCCCAACCCCCACGTGGCCAGTAACCTTTGGAGTACTTGAGAGAAGCAGTCCCATACCTCTTGGCTTTAGGGTCCTTTGGTCAGTCATCAAATGTGGCATTGGGAAAATGAAAGGCAAGCCTTGTCGCAGGCAGGAAGCTCCTTAGGAGATGCAGGGAGTGAGAGGAAGAGACGCTGGATATGCACCTTGCTTGCTTTCCAGAAAATGGGCCGGAGAACAGACAACAATAGACTAAGCCTTGCTCAGAGAATGTCAACCCAGTGTCTCACCGATTGCTCTGAACACTGACTAGAGGCGGGTGGTAGGTGGGGAAGGGTGGAGGCAGCTCTGCATGCGGCCCAGAAAGGACACTTGAGAAAGGAAGGGGGTTCTTGGCCACACCCCTGTGTCCACCCGGTGTTCTCACAACGGCCTGTGTCCTGCTGTGGAGTGCAAAACCCTGGGCAGGAGGCTGTAGAGGAGGGTCAGGCAGCAGCACGACTCAGCTCACAGCAATCTGGTCAGGGAAACCCGCATGGCGGGGGCTGACAGCGCAGGGATGAAGGACATGCCTCTCCTTAGTAGTCACCACAGCTCGCAGGTGTGCACAGGTGACAGCTCTCACATCTCCCCAGAGCCACCTCCGGGCTTGTGAGCAGGAATGTGAGGGGGCGAGGGAGCATGTGAATGCCCCAGAGTCATTCCAAGCCTCTCAGACTCCTGGTCAACTCCTAGTCTCCTTTTTTTTAAAAATCACTGTGGAGCTGCAGAGATAGTATAGTTGGTAGGCGCTCACCTTGCACACAGTGGGTTTGGGCTCGATAGCTGGCACCACATAGGGTCCCAAACTCTGCCAGGAGTGATCCCTGGGTACAGAGCTTGGAGTAAGCTCTGAGCACCACTGGGTGTGGCTCCAAACAAAAGCAAACAAACAGAATAAAGGGGCTTTGAGGCTGTGAAAGCCTTGAGTCAGGGAAGAAAATGTGTTGGCTTTTGACCACCTTGGGTGGGTGGGATCTTCCCCAGATATGTGTGGGTGAGTCGCCTCAAAGAACAGGAGGCAGGCTTGGCATGTGGGAGCCCCAAGTCAATCTCTAGCATCATATGGTTCCCCAACCATCATGTGGTATGGTCCTTAAAGTAGAAACAAACAATCCCATTCCCCCCTCTCCCCACAAAGATCATCCCCAAACTGTTTTAATTGGGTAGAGAATAAGCAATCTCAGAGTCAACACAAGCCTTTCTGGGGTCACAGTCTCTATAGGGGGCCTCTGCAGGAAGCTGACTGCTGAGCAAGCCCCATGCAGGCTGGCCATTGAGGGAGATGGAGATGCAAACACCTGAACAGTGAATTTATTTTTCAGCTTTCCTTTTCCAGTCTAAAAAGATAATTTCAAAGACAAGTATCAATGGTTGGAGACAACTGTTCTCATACCCAGAGAGTCTATTATCAAAAACCTTAAATTTAATTCCTGTCCAGATTTTGGTGAGGATTTCATTTTCACCACACACAGAGAACACTATGTGTACAGATGGGTACCCTTGGGTACCCAGACCCGGTACAGAGAGATCACTGCTGTTGCAGGGACCGGCACTGGGCAGCTCCTTCTGCCCCACCTAACCGGTTCTAATCATGCAGCCAAACATGTTAACATTTCCGTGTCCTTTATAAGAGATAGCGGCAGCTTCAAGAATACTGCTTTTTTTTTTTTTTTTTTTTTTTGGTTTGGTGGCCACACCTAGCAGTGCTCAGGGATTGCTTCTAGCAGGGCTTGGGGGATCATACTGGTATACTGGGGATCAAACTCGGGTCGGCCCTGTGCAAGGCAAGTGTCCTACCCACCGTACTATTGCTCTAGTGCTGTAAGAAGATAATTTAAGAACATGTGTATTCATTATTTTAACACTGCATGGGTTTAAGTGAAATGGTCCTGGAGACATCTTCAATAGCTTAACATTTTACTGCTCTGAAATTCCACTAGATGGAGACATTTCATCATAAAAATTTTCTCTCTCTCTCTCTCTCTCTCTCTCTCTCTCACACACACACACACACACACACATACACACCACACACACGCTCTGCAAAATCACCATGGTGAGGAAGAAATTAAGTGCTTCAAGTGATGCTTACTTTTTTGTTGAAGCAAGCTAGCTTTTTTCAACTTCTAATTCATTTAAATTAAGAAAGGAAAAAACAGAAAGTCAAGTATCCATTTTGCGGATCCTGGAATGGTCATGGGGGCAGGGAGCCAGTACATTTTTCAGCAGATTGGGACCAGAAGCGCAGTTTTATTCAGGTGATATGGTGTAAAAAAGGTAATTTCTATTTAAAATCCAGCATTAACAACCACATTTTGTTCCCAGCACCTAAACAGTGCAGCAAAGATAAGAATCCAGCTATCAGCTCATTCTGAAGTCATGTATTAGGAATTTAAGACTTTTTCTTAAGTGACTCCATTAATCTCACAAGGGTTTTCAGTTACTCATGAGAAAGATAAAATCCTCTTCCTAGGCCATCAAGGGGCACTTTCTCATCAAAGGAGATCTGAAGTAACGATAACTCAGTGCATTCATTATCTAGTGACCCTCACATGCTGTCCCTGGAGAGGCTGGTACCAATGCAAAATGTCAAGAAATCTGTAGCGCAAATGAACCTTCTGAACAGACTGAATGCCGAACTCACCTAACATACACACCCCATCTTTATACTCTTCACCTAGATTTAGGAAAATTTTAAATAGAATTCCACCATGTCCATTGTCTCTTCCTTGAGCTATTATGGCTCACTGTTATGATTATAGCTGTGTTTCTCAGCCACACCTGGCGGTGCTCAGCGCTGGCTCTTGATGGTCCCCAGGGCACTCTGCACCAGCAGGTGTGACGTCTGGCCCCTGATTGCTGCGTGTGTGCTCCAGCCCTTGAAGTGCTCGACTCTGGTTCCTCACCTGCATTGCTTTAGATTGTTCTCACAGTTCAGCTGATTTCATGGATTCAGAGTTCTGATTAGTAAATTGGCATGATTTTATTTAACCTTGCTGTAATTGAAATACAGGACTTTTAAAATCTGCTTCTGGTTTAGGTTTTTGTAACAGCTCCCTCTCTTCCTCTAATTTAAAGACTTACTTTATAAAAAAAAGTTCGTCTCTCAGCTGGAGAGACAGTACAGGGGTTGGGTGCTTGCACGCATGTGTTCCCCTCTATGTTCTCGAGGACTACCTGGTTCCCTGAACATCACTGGGCACAGTTTTGGAGCCTGTGAATACGGCCAGGAGCAGCCTTGGAAACTCCGCGGACACGGTGGGGTGGCCTGGGGAATCACTTCTCACTGACGGGCCTAAGCTGCACCATACCCATAGGCCCTTGCACCGACCCACCAGGTTGAGAGTAAAAATCTATTAGTAACCCATCGTGGTCTTAGGAGCCAGGAACCCCTGTATAGTCAGGGAGTTGCATGTACCAGCAGTTTAGCCCTGAACTGTGGAGCGTTTTAATAATAAATGCTGGCTTCTCTGACTTTTGTCCCTATGTAGCAGGTGCTCAGAAAGCATGACCATCACAGTTTTGCCAATGGTACATGGTGCGCTATGCCAGAATTTTGTCTAACCACTGTGAAAACTTGATGGACATCACCAGGTCGGGTCATGAGCCCATGACTGTCCTTGGTGTAAAACACTGATCATACTTTCAAAAGTCACTGTCTTGAAAATCCTCCTGAAATGTGAAAAGAGCTTTTTCTCCTGACTGTTTTTTCTAAGTGCAGTCCGTCAGGCTGCCTGCGACTTGGACATGAGGAGCTTCCCTTCAAACTGGATATCTGTCACCTTCCCTCGGTTGTTCTTTTACATGGGTGTGGTGTAAATATGGTCAATTTTCAAACATTTTTCTATCCAAGCACAATTATTAAAGACACTTGACGTTTACTCTCTAATTAGCATCACCTCTCAGGCCAGATTCAACTCAACAACTCATGTCTATACTACACTCTGTTTAGAATTTTACGAGGTAAAAACTGCAAATGGTTGCTGCTGGTCCCAATAAATCGTTGTTGAATTGATTAGATCCGTCACAGATTCTTATGCCATGTAATGAATGACTCAAATAAATAAATTTTTAAAAAAATATGGAAACAGAAAGTAGCACAGATGAATTGAAATGTTTGGCAAATAGGGCGAGGATTAATCACACTCAAATGAGCAGCACTGAGCACTTACAATAGGTCCTTGAGAGGACCCCCATGGGCTCTGGGTGCCTGCACACACACCTGTCACTGTCACCCCATTGTTAATCAATTTGCTCGAGTGGGCCCAATAACATTTTGAGACTTGTTACTGTGTTTGGCATATTGAGTACGTCACGGGTAGCTTGCCGGGCTCTCCGAGAGGGGCGGAGGAATTGAACTCGGGCTGGCCAAGTCGGCCATGTGCAAGGCAACCGCCCTACCCGCTGTGCTATCGCTCCAGCCCCTTAGCCAGCAATGAACCTCTTCCAGGTTTACTCAGTCTGGGAAAGCTGGCAGCCCTCTGACCCCCAGATTTTGCCCTCTAATAGGGAAAGAAGTGGGAGGGTGTGAGGACAAGACATGCAAACATGCACACGCACATGCATGCTTGCACACATGTCTACATGCATGGAGGTGTGGCAGCTGCCCAGGGAGAACAGAGCCCCTGGCCTCCCTCTCCTGGCCCTGGCTGGGCGGAGTAAGGAGAGTTGCCACCTGCATCTGCATTATTGCTTTGTTTTCCCTTCCCTGCCTCTCTCCCCTATTATTACCCTAGACTTCAGGTGATTGTATTTGATACAAAGACCTGCGGCCCCACCCCCAACCTTAAAAAAGGGCATCTAAATGGCATGGGGGCTGAGGAATTCTATAGGCAGGAAGAAGTTAAAGGTGGAGGAGGGAGTAAAGCCCTTTGTAACATTTTCTTCTAAAAGAATGGGGTCAGAGGCACAAAGCTCTGTGCAAACACTGAAGATCACATGTGTCAACCACAAAAGGAGACAGGGACAGGTGCTATTGTCTTGCATGGTTCTTCATCCTTTTCAATTTTGCACCATTCAAGTCTCTCACCAAAAGAACAAAGGAAGAAGGCACAAATTTGATTTGGGCAAGGACTGGCTTCTCTAAAACCATGCAGTGAGCCCCTGGTGGCGTGGCACATGTGGGCTTTGCTACAGAAGTACCTTCTGGATCGGCTGTGTGCAAGGCAAGTGCCCTACCTGCTACACTATCTCTCTAGCCCTGCTTTTACAACCTTTACACCCAAAGAGAAACCATCAACTCTGCTACAGTGACATCACCCCCTTCCCCCCACCCCCAAAGCGTTCCCTGAACATCAAATCCTCTGCCTGTCCATCCATTCTTTGTTTTTCAACTGAGACCGCCCTGATAACAATTTTTTTTTTTGCTTTTTGGGTCACACCCAGCGATGCACAGGGGTTACTCCTGGCTCTGCACTCAGGAATTACCCCTGGTGGTGCTCGGGGGACCATATGGGATGCTGGGAATCGAACCCGGGTCGGCTGCGTGCAAGGCAAATGCCCTACCCACTGTGCTATTGCTTCAGCCCCGATAACAAGTGATTTTTGCAAGCGATCCATCATTTCAGAAAGCCAAAAAGCTACAGAGGAAACAAGAGAGCTCTTTGTCGGCTTGAGAGGCACATGCATCTCTCCCTCCCGCTCCAAACTTACGAGCTGTTCAATATTTGGAATTTTTCTCCTTTGTGAAAACTCAGGTCATCTTCCGTCCGTGCTTCATAATCATAAAGGGCCACGAACAGGGTCACTCCTGACAAGAAAGACACAATTGCAAGGGGAGAGATCATTACACGTGGAAAAATGAATGCTGAGAAGCACAATGTCCATTAAAATTACCACAAAAGCTCTCAGCAATCAGCGCAGATAACGTTATGCGGTGTGGCACAGCAACGTGCAAACACTGGCGCGCCGAGATGGCGGTCCTGGTCTTTGGAGCAGGAAGCATCACTGGATCCAACAAAAACCTGCAGGGCTTCCCTTGGTGTACTTCTGAAGGAGTCCTCGGGAAGACACTGACGGTGCCCAAACATCCCAAACAGACCAGCAGTTGCTGCTGCAGCCGTGCTCGAGCTCGGGCTCCCAGAGCTCTTTAGCTAACAAGCATTCATCTCCACTTAGGAGCCCAGGTTAGGTTTCTGGCAAAATGGAACCATTCCTGCCTTCGGCCTAATAGTACTGCAGTGAGAAAGTGCTGCAGGGGCCTGGGGAAAACCCTTGCAGAGAGATAAAACCTTTTCTGCAACTTCACTCCCAATTTGAGAATGTCCTGTTCTTGGCAACCACATTGCTTTTGGATTCCTCTCTTTCCTGTTCTGTCCTGGAGGTTGTTGTTGATTTTGGGGTCACACCTGCTGGTACTGGGGTTGTGGGCTACTCCAAGTGTTGTGCTCAACAGACCTGGCAAGGCTGGGCATTGAAGTGGTAGCTCCCACATGCCATTTTTTTTTTTTTTACTTTGTCACACCCAGTGATGCTCAGAGGTTACTCCTGGCTCTGCACTCAGAAATTACTGGTGCTTGGGGGATCATATGGGATTCCAGGAATCAAACCTGGGTCTACATAGACATGTAAGGCAAACACCTTACACACTGTACTGTCGCTCCAGCCCCATCGACCCCTCTCTTTTGCTCTCCTCCTTCCTTGAACTCACCAACCCTTACCTTGACTTGTGGTACTCTTTCACACTCACCCTCCATCTTCTATCTGGCTGACTCCCCTGGGATTCAGAAGTTCATTCTCAATAGCTCCCATTTGGTCTGGACTGAGCATAGGGAGAGTTCTAAGATGATCTTCGCTGATTTCACCTCTCAGTATTCATGACCCTGTGCAATCTCCTTTCCATAAGTGTGGGCCAAACTCGGACACTTGTTCTTAACCGACAGAACATAGTGAGGGTGGCGGGAATGTCTCCTATGGGAGTTTTGCTATGCAGCAATTGGTAATGAGTACTTTTCATTTCTCTGCTCTCTGGCTTCTCACTTTGATCTTCATATACTTCAAAGTACCTGATGTAGCTCTACACAGATTATGCCCTTTTTCAGGCTGCCATTTGCTACACAGGTGGTGCCAAGGGAATGATATGCCCAAGAATCAGAGTGGAAGGTGGGGTTTGTCTTTCCACTACCTGTCCTTTGGGTTTGTCCCTTTCCAAAGGGGACATCCTGCAGGACCATTGGCACTCAGAAGGTCTGAGCATGCCGTTAAGGCTCAGTGCGCAACTGTCTGCCTTCCTTTAGAATGTAAGAAAACAGCTGACAACAAACAAAAAGCCTAAGTCATTGACAAAGTCATGCCTATTTTTATGTAAAACTTTACTGACAGACACCCTTCATTATGTGATTTAAAAACAAACTTAAGCTCCCCAGTGTGGAAGACAAGTTGCAAGGGATGGACATTCCACTCACTGTCTACACGGTGTCACTAGGGGCTTTTTATCTTTTTCTTTGTGACGGGCACATACCAGGCGGTGCTCAGGGCTTTCTCCTGGCTGTGTGTCAGAGATCACTCCTGGCAGTGTCGGGGATGGAAGAGATCAGCTATGTGCAAGGCAAGTGCCCTACCTCTGCATGATCTCTGTAACCCATGGGAGTTTTGATCTTGAAGAGAGAGAGGAAGTGTCAAAGGAGTCACAGTGACACGCATATACCAGGCAGAAGTCCCCTGACCTTTGGGGGGCACTTTCAAATATCATAAAAGGCTAATCTCAATAAAAATGACAAAGTTTACTCCTGACTGCTATGAAGAGTTCCCTGTTTAAAGTGGCCCTCTCCACAGAGGCAGGGTGGGACGAGGGGGATGGGGGGTGGGAGGGATACTGGGATCCGTGGTGGTGGGAAATGGGCACTGGTGGAGGGATGGGTATTTGATCATTGTATAATCGAAACCCAAGCACAAAAATTTGTAAGTCTACAACTGTACCTCATGATGTCTCACTGATAAAAATAAAAAATATATAGAATAAAATAAAGTGGCCCTCTCTGGTGCCGGTCCCCGACACCTGGATTCCTAGGGATTCACCTCTGGCACTCGTGCATGAATGAGCAAGGCTACTGCTGGCATTAGCAGAACTCAAGAGTCTGGCTGGCACAGCACCTGTGCTTCCTTCCCATCTTCCTTCCCATCACACAGGACAAGCGTATGATGGGTGTGGCTTTTTCCTCCAGCATCCTCAGTCAACAGGCTTCCCCAGACTGCCTGAATGCCTTTTCCCTCCCTCCTCCATTCCTGAGCCTTCCAGGAAGGCAGGAGGGATGCTAAGATGTTCCTGTCCTCATTGAACTCTGTAAAGTCCTCTTTAAAATGAATGTGAGAGGCCAGAGAGACAGCACAGTGGGTAGGGCACTTGCCTCGGACATGGTGGTTGACCTGGGTTCGATCCCCAATATCCCATATGGTACCCCGAGCACCACCAGGAGTAATTCCTGAGTATCACCAGGTTTGGCTCCCAAAACAAAAAAAAAATCTCCCCCCTCCCCAAGAAAATGATAAAGGGAAATGAAGATCCCTCTATCCCCACCAAAGTGAACCATTCTGTCTCTTCTGTTCTGCTGAATGAAGTGTTCATGCCCAAAGCTCCTGATTGGGTTCGAAGGGTGAAAAGAGGCTGCTAAGGACGAGCTGGTGCTGGGGAATAAGGGAGCAAGGGAGCAAGGCACGTGGGCTTGTTATCTAACCTCTTCCCCAGATGAGCCCAAAGCACAGCCGCTGATGCATATAAAACTTTCACATGAAACATTTTTGTAATACATCATGTCAAATGCCTAGTGACCACGATTCACACCCCAGGAAGATCTGGAAGGGGACTGATGCATGAGGTAACTTAGAAATATGTCGAAAAACATATGTCTGGTAGTGTATGCCAGGGATTTTTTTACAAAGTACTGGCTGAGTCAGCAAGTACACATGGCAATGAAAAACATAGTCTTGTGGTGGGAAAGAGAAGGAAACTTAAAAATGCAGGGAGAAGGTCCCATGTAGATATGTATGATTCAAATTTAATATATATATACATATGCACACATGTATATATATATAGGTGAAGCGAATAGTTTTATTAAAGACATTTAGAAAAATGTGTGTGCAGGGCAGGGGGAGAGAGGTGTTTGTGTGTGTGTGTGTGAGAGAGAGAGAGAGAGAGAGAGGGAGTGTATGTGTGTGTGTGAGAGAGAGAGCAAGAAAGAGAGAGGGAGGGGAGAGAGAGAGGAGAGAGAGAGAGAGAGAGAGAGAGAGAGAGAGAGAGAGAGAGAGAACATGCTGAAGGTTGATGAGTCCTGATCCAGAGGATATTAGAAAGAGAATAGAGGGACATAATCGCCCTCATGTCCTGCTGCCCAGTGGCCCCTGGATGGGAAGTAAACTGGATTTGGCTGCAGGCACAGTTAAGTCAAGTGCCTTAACCCCTGCATCATCTCTCCAGTCATTCCAAGTGTCTCTTTAGCAGGAGAAAGGCAGAAGGAGCACAGGAATATCTAGACAGTGTCTGATTCAAAAGATCTAGCGTGAGGCTCAGGGCTGTATATTTGGAAAAAGCTGCCGTCGTTCTGCTGGGCCACCAAGCCAGGGCCCAGAGCTACAGGCCTTAAATGCCTCCCCCAGGAGAAGCTTGTCTCAGGTAACACCCAGATTTCTCGACTTCACCACCAAAATTTGTCTTTCTACTTCCTCTCAGCCGGCAGTGGGTAGAAGGAGATTGATAAAAGTCCCCAGTTGTGGGAAGCCTCTCAGCCAGAGGAAGGGACTGCCCCTACCCCTGCCCCAGGGGTAGCCAGGCCCAGCGTGAGGGGCAGCTTACCTGTCCCTCCTCTCGTACGCAAGGTCCCAGTATGAGACGAAGAGTTCACACCCCCAAAGACAGTGAGTCCTTGGCCGCCGGCTGCGTGGAAGTTGTTGTAGTTGGGGATGGAGGTCACGCCGAAGCTGGGGTAGTGCTGAGGGGTGGGGTCTGTGCCATAGCGGTACCCGGAGCTCTGGTTCAGGCTGCCGTCCCTCTCCTCCGTCAGTTTTGTTGCTTCTTTATCCTTACATTGCACACAGCCCATTATCTAAATTCCTGCCAGAAACAAAGAACAGGCACATGAAGTTGGGGCTCCCTAGTGGCTGGATTTGTATATATATATCACTGTCCTCCCCTTGTTCATCGATTTGCTCGAGCGGGCCCAGTAACGTCATTGTGACACTTTTGTTACTGTGTTTGGCATATCAAATACGTTATGCATAGCTTGCCAGGTTTTTGCCGTGTGAGCGAGGTACTCTCCGTAGCTTGCTGGGCTCTCTGAGAGGGGTGGAGGATTCAAACCCGGGTTGCCCGGGCGCAAGGCAACCGCCCTACCCGCTATGCTATCGCTCCAGCCTATATATATATATATATATTTTTTTTTTTTAAACTTTTACTTTTGTTTGGTTTATGGCCAACCTCCGGTGGTGCTCAGGGGATCCCATGTGGTGCCAGGGATCTAATCGGTTACTTGCAAGTTAAGAGTTTCAGCCTTGTACTATCTTTCCAGCCCCTGGGTTGCTTGATTATTAAAGAGGAAGGACTTACAACCTGGCTTTGGACATTTCAAGCTTGTGGGGAATGAAGAAGAACAGTGGCCAGGGTAGCCCATTAGAAGTGACCTCAGTGCCCTGAATTTGACAACCACATTTGTTGAATCGAGTCACCACACCGTGTGTTGGTGACCCTGCTGCTTTTGTCCTCAAGTGAGTTTTACTCCCCAGAACTTCCAGAGCATCATACCTGGGTCTAAAGATAGCCCAAGAACACTTAATATGCTTACATCTAGTCAGCTTAAAAATAACCGATGCTCTACAAAATGAGTTTTTGCAATATTAGTATAAAATCTCCGAAAGACAAGAGCAGAGGAGTGGAAAGGCCAGAACATAGCCCCAAAGAACTCATCAACTTTTTCACTCTTGGGAACCCATTCTTCAAGCACATGTTAGATACACTGAAAGCAATCGGATGATAAAACACTGAAACTCAGAAAGAGATGCTGGATGAAAAATAAAATTGGCAGAAAGGGAGAGGTCCGGGTATATTTGCAGAATGTCATGATAACTGACAGTAACAAAGTCCTTGAAAGCTGCTAATTACCTTTTCAAATTCCCCTTAGCTTTCAACATCTTTCAAAAACATTCAGAAATATCATTCCCATGTTCTAGGGTTGGTGTTGGGGTAACAACTCATCGTCCCCCCCCCCACTCCCACATCCCTCCAAACCTTCTATTCACCTCAGTAAATGACACCACCAAAAACTCAGCACTCTGAGACAAAATCTTTGTTTCTCCTTATTTTCTTCTCAACATCCTGTCTCCCATTCTACTCTGCAAACATGTCAAGTTCTTGGGTTTTTCCAAGATTCCACAGAATTTGCTTAGCTTCAGTTGTTGAATATTCCTCCTCCCCTTTGCTATGCAACACATCCTTCCAGTCTGAGCTGAGCTCCATTTCTTCTACAAAGGCTTCTCTGATTCCTCCACATTCTCCAGACTGGAGTGATGCTCATCCTAACTGCTCTTGTCCCAGGGTACCCAACTTCCCTCATCATCATGGCACCTATCATAGCACAGCAGAACATGATCAATACACTTGTCTCATTGTCCAGTGGACTGTGTATTGCAGAAAGGCAGGGTCATGCCAGTGCCTGTCACATAGTAAAGTGCTCAAGGAACAGCAACTGAAATGTATGAAGATTCTCTAGCCTTCTGTGTTTCTCTCTCACTCTTCTGCACCTCCTTCTGGTGACTTAGTCAATAGTGTTGTGTGTGTGTGTGTGTGTGTGTGTGTGTGTGTGTGTGTGTGTGTGTGCACGCATGCGGGAGCATGCAATCTACTGGTGCATGTGTGTAGTAAAGATAATTCATAAACACAAGGTAAAGTCAACTCAACCACCCCACATGGAACTGCAATACTATGAAACTGACATAGGGATCAGCAGAACACACAATGGTCATCTCTGTCAAAACTCTGTAAAGTGAGCCCCTTTGGGACTAAAGACCAAATTAAAAACACATGACATCATGTGTAATTATATGGGTTCACTGGGGAGGGAGGGCACAGCTGGTACAGGGTGGGAAGGGATTTGGGGCAGTGAAGAAGAGTGAAAGAGCATAGTTTTCTACAGTGGCCTACCAATCAAGGTGGGAGACGACACGTGGGTTACAGAGACTCTTGGGACCCTGCTCCGAATACTGCTTTTCTACTGAATAGGATCATGGAAGCAGGATTGGGTTGTGCTAAAACCTTCTCATGTTACATGTTGCAAAAAAAATACTTATTGAACTGAATGTCAGTTCCTGAAATGGAAATATTTGGAAATGATCTGCCTACTGTTGAGCTGAGATCACCAAGTCTGGAAAACGTTTACATGTAAATCTTTCAAGATTAACTTACAGTCTACTGTGTCCAACATGCTCTCCCACTTATGGTAAGTGGAAGCAATTTTAACAAGTTTCCAAGAGGAAATGAAAAAAATCTCTAAAGCGTGATATGCCAAAGGGATTTCATTATTTGTTGTTGGTATTGCTTCAAAAAGCTGACAAAAGCCTTGCTCATTTTAACTCTTTTGTGGCAGGAAGTTTCTCTAAGCTTCTACAAAGGTCAAGCCAAAAACACTCCTGAGCCAGGAGTTTTTTTTTTTTTTTTTTTTTTTACTGATTTACTGTAATCAGTGGAGGTGAGAGCTGAATCACAAAATGACATTAACACCAACGTTTCTCAATCAAACAGGGTTATCTTCCCTCTGCCCCACCAAGAGACATCAGGCAAAATCTGAAGACATTTTTCATAACAGCTAGAGGGTCTCTATCCAGTAGAGGATAGACATCACGGATGCTGCTTGATGAACAGAAAACAAAGGAGAGCTTCCAACAACAAAAAAACTACCTGGCTCCAAATTAGTAACACCAGTATCTAGAAAATGATTTATGCAGAAGAAAGATTTTATATTTGAAAAAGCTAAACAGCTATTTCCCTTATATGCTTATTTTTCTTTTGGGCTTTTTTTTTGTGGGGGGGTCACATCTGGCGATGGTTACTCCTGGCTTTGCACTCAGGAATTACTCCAGGTGGTGCTTGGGGACCATATGGGATGCTGGGGGTCGAACCCGGGTCAGCTGCATGCAAGGCAAATGCCCTACCTGCTGTACTATTGCTCCAGCCCTCCTTATATGCTTGTGACGAGCAAGTGACCCAGGATGCCTCCCTCCGGAGAGCAGGAGAGCTAGGTAGGAGACAACTTGAAAAACTTCCATGAAATGCTCTGACTTTCCTTGGAGCTTATTCTTTGTTGGGGAGAAAAGAATCGAAAACCAATGAAAAGTTTCTCATTATCATTCATTCTTTTGTTTCTGATCAAAAGCAAATTCAATATATTTGTGAAAACCAGGTCTTATATTTATACTTATCAAGAGAAAAACCAGGCCTTATATCTAAGCATATCAAGAAAAAAAATGTCTTTCAAAATCCACTAAAGAAAATGCCACTATAATAAATCCAATACTTCACATAATTTTATAACAAATTATAAACTCCTTGAAAACTGGTGTGTGTGTGTGTGTGTGTGTGTTGTGTGTGCATGCACACGTGTGCCAATCTTTTCTTTTTTGGTGTTTTGACCACAATCAGTGAAACTCAGGGGTTACTCTTAGCTCTGTGCTTTGCAGAGGGTGGGGGTCTCTGCTTTGAAAATGTCACTCCTGGGCCTGTTCAGGGGACCATGTGGTGTCTGGGACTCCAGTATGCAAATCCTGTGCTCAGTCCATTGAGCCATTCCTCCAAGCCCTATCTTTGGGGTTTTGTTTTACAGTTGTATCCACATTGCTCAGGACAGTGTCCGCACATAGTAGGTACTCAATGACTAAAAGTAATGAAAAGACTCAAAACCTTAGAACCACTTTGGAGACAAATCTCTCTTACAGAAGGAACAGCTACATTAATACTTCATGCATTTGTAATTTTTTCAGGTGGGGGGATTGAGGGAGGGCCCCCAAATAGTGCTTAGTGGGTCTGGGAGCCACTCAGTCAAGCTGGGTGGGTTTAATGGCTCAGGCCTGGCGGTGAGGTGCCACTTGTGTCCAGCAGTGCCGAGTTGGGGCCTGCAGGGCTATACCTAGTTGGGGGTGGGGGTGGGGGGCCATGCTGTGCTAGGGAGTGAACCTGGGGCAAGGTGTGTGCAAAGTGTGAACTCCAGCCCATTGAACCATCTCCTCAGCTCTGCACTTGCAATTTCAAGTCAAGAATGTTATCTGCATAGTCCTTGCTTTCTCTCTTCCATTCATTGACAAATATGAAGCAACCAAAATAAATCAGCACATGTTGGCTCAAGCCATTAAGAGTTAATCACAACGAAAATATTTTTGTAAGATCTTGTGGTCTTTTCCCTCCCGCTTGGGGCGGTCAGACTAACTAACCATTTCCTGACGGAAGAGTCAGACTCTCTGAGTTGTACTTGTTGCGATTAGGCTTCTTGCCATCAGGCAGGCTTATTCACATCTTGGTTAACAAAATAAAAAAAATCCCTTATTACATAGAACTCTGTGCTGTGGCTTTTATGGCCCATGTTGTAGGTCGGTTATGAATGTAGAATGTGCTAATAAACTTGCTCTAGATGTTTTGGGTGTTGCAGAGCATGACTAACTTGATTTCAAAAGTGGGATCCTGGAGTCAAATAAAACGTCATTCACCAGGAACTCACGTCCAACTCTGTAGTCACTGTGCTCAGACAATCTGCTGGACAGGCATTTTGACTACTAGGATCCTAGGCCGGTGGGCCAGGTTTCTGGCTTATAACTAGGAAGTCCTCCACTTTCCAATCCTTCTACACACAGAAGGGCTCTGCTTCTAACATGCAAGTAAAGCCTGACTCAAAACCTCATTGGTCCTCATGTGTGTCCTAAATGCACCAAGTAACATGGGGAAGGGTCGCAAAGAAAGAATCCAAGGCATGCTCCTGTGGCCAGCACAGAATCATCAATTAATTTAATCACTTTCTGGTGCATCAGCACTTTCTGTCAAATTTGATCTTTGGTCTCATGCGATTACTGTGACTG